TTACTTTGATTACTCGACCTTTGTAATCAGGAAGGATGAGTCCTCCAACTTTGCTGTTTTTTTTCAAGATTGTTTTAACTATTCTGGGTCCCTTGAATTTCAATATGAATATTAGGATAAGCTTTTCAATTTCTGCAAAGAAGCCAGCTGGAATTGGATGGGGATTGCACTGAATCTGTAGGTCAACTGGGGAGTGTTGCCTTCTTAACAAATATTTTTTTTTTTCAACGTTTATTTATTTTTGGGACAGAGAGAGACAGAGCATGAACGGGCGAGGGGCAGAGAGAGAGGGAGACACAGAATCGGAAACAGGCTCCAGGCTCTGAGCCATCAGCCCAGAGCCCGACGCGGGGCTCGAACTCACGGACCGCGAGATCGTGACCTGGCTGAAGTCGGACGCTCAACCGACTGCGCCACCCAGGCGCCCCTTAACAAATATTTTTTTAAAGATTTTATTTTTTTTTTATTTTGAGAGAGAGAGAGGAAGAGAGCATGAGTGGAGGAGAGGGGCAGAGGGAGAGAAAGAATCTCAAGCAGGCTCCATACTCAGCATGGAGACTGATGCAGGGCTCGATCCCACAACCCTGGGATCATGGCCTGAGCTGAAATCAAGAGTCGAACACCCAACAGGCTGTACCACCCAGGTGTCCTGCCTTCTTAACAATATTAAATCCGGGGCACCTGGGTGGTACAGTCATTTAAGCGTGCAACTCTTTAAATTTTTTTAATGCTTTTTAACATTTTTATTCACTTTTTGAGAGACACAGAGAGACAGAGCACAAGCGGAGGAGGGGCAGAGAGAGGGAGACAGAATCCAAAGCAGGCTCCAGGCTCTGAGCTGTCAGCACAGAGCTGGATGCGGGGCTCGAACTCAGGAGCTGTGAGATCATGACCTGAGCTGAGGTCGGCCATTTAACCGACTGAGCCGCCCAGGCGTCCCTAAGTGTGTGACTTTTGATTTCGAATCAGGTCATGATCTCACGGTTGGTGGGTTTGAGCCCACATTGGGCTCCATGCTGAGTGTGGAGCCTGCTTGGGATTCTGTCTCCGTCTCTCTCTGCCCCTTCCCTGTTCACGCTCTGTCTCTCTCAAAATAAAGAAATAAACATTAAAAAAAATTAAATCTTCTGATCCATGAACATGGAATATCTTCTATTTAGTCAGGTCTTCTTTAACGTCTTTCAATCAACTTTTAATTACTTAGACACGGCTTCCTTTAGTTCCTTGAACATATTTGTGACAGCTGATTTATTTCAAAATTAATTTTAATAGGTTTTTCTTGTTTTATATGTTTTGTCTGTCAAGTCCACCTTCTCAGCCTCCTCATGGGAAGTTTTTACTTATTGCTTTTTCATCTTGGGTATGGAGCATACTTTCCTGTCCCCTTCTGTGTCTTGCCATTGTTCCTTTGTCTCTTTCTTTCTTTTTAACTGGACCTTGAAAATCACGTAATATGGCGACTCTGGAAACCCGTTTTACCTAATACCTCCCTTCCCCAGAATTTGTTTTGTTGTCGCTGTTTGTTTTTGTTTCAACAACTGCTGCTGCCACCATCTGTTTGTTTCGTGACTTTCCTGGACTGATTCTGTAGTCTGTATTTTTTGTGTGTGGCCACTGAAGTCTCTGTTCAGCTAGCTTCACGGTCAGCTAGTGATTACCTGAAGATTTCCTTAGATGCCCTGAACGAATATGTCTCCTCCATTATGCTAAGAGCCTCTGTGTGTGTATTAAGCCATGACTTCAATGCTCTCCAGCTTGAAATTCCACCCCAGCCTCCACTTCCTGCTTGCACAGAGCCTCAAGATCAGCCAGGGAGAGATTCAGGCCTTCTCATGTCTTTCCTGGGCGTGTGCACAGCCTTTGCATATGCACATAACTTTCTAGATTTCCAGGAATATATCAGAGCTTTTAGAAGCCCCCAGTGATACCTCGTTCTCTAAATTTTCAAGTTTTTGATCAGCCAACAGGTATCATCGGCTCAGGAAGCTCGATGCTCAACAGTTACTATTGATTATTTTCAACAAACTGGGGAAAGGGGTGTTTGCACTAAGGGAGTCCTGAGTCATAGCAAATAAAGACCATTCTTGAGAATGGTGTCTTTCTAGGGAGCTGTCTGATGGGTCCAACACTGTCAGTTCTCTGGAGATGCAGTTTTGGGGGGACCTTCACACCTGTTCCCTCCTGCAGCTTTTAGGCTGCTCGTTTTCACAGCTACTCTGGTTGTGAGGCCACTGGTTTTTAAGGCTCCCATGGAGGTTGGGGGGCAGGTAGAGAAGAGTGGGAATACAGCAAGTGAAAATGCCACAAAGCTCAAAGTTTTTACTGAGATTCGGCTGTTTTTCTTTAGTAACTACTCCTTGTGTCGTTGCAAGCCTTTGGCTAATTTCTAGAGTCCTGCAGAAGTCAATTTTGACCATTTTTGTCAGTGTTCTCATTGCTTTTCATTCTGGAATGCTTCTCATCACCTTTGTTTTATTTATTTATTTTGTGAGAGAGATAACGTGCGTGCATGCACCTGAGTGAGGGGCAGAGAGAGAGAGAGAGAGAGAGAGAGAGAGAGAGAGAGAATCCCAAGCAGGGTCTGTGCTGCCAGCACGGAGCCCAATGCAGGGCTCGATCCCCTGAACCGTGAGATCATGACCTGAGCCAAAATTGAGAGTAGGATGCTTAACCGACCGAGCCATCCAGGTGCCACTATAATTTAATTTGTAACAATGGCTGTGTCTAACAACTGGCATGCAAAATTCCTGAAGGGTTCACAATACCACTGGCAGAACCCTCATGGATGCACCCATGCGATCCAGCTCAGCCCTGCAAACACTTAGGGTATCTGCTGGATGCCAGACCCTCAGGGGTGCATGCTCATTTAGTACTAAACTAACTCCGTATCTCTCAGCACCTAGCCCTCAGTCACTGCTGGCAGGACAACAATGCCAGTAGGGTTGTCCAATTGATGTCTTGGCATGGAAGAAAAACTGGAAAAGGCTGAGCACAGGTGAGAACAGCTATAGGAACACACCCCAAGATATTGCTTCTAAGCTTTAGGGATCTAATCCCAAATTGCGCCTAAGGCTGTTTTCTGATTGCCAGGTGAAACGAAACAAAGCAAACCGGTCGGTGTTCAATTGTTTTATAAGTTCTCGACCGAATCTTCAAGAGAAGCACTGGGCAGAGGTATGAGTGGTGAGGTGGGTGGTAAAGGTTTCCATTAGACACCCTCTGAGGAATGTGTACCTTAACTCCTGCTCTGTGAAGTGAGAAAAAGAAGTTTTTAAAAAATTTCGGGGCTTGGGGCGCCTGGGTGGCTCAGTCGGTTAAGCATCGGGCTTCGGCTCAGGTCACGATCTCGCAGTTCGTGAATTCGAGCCCCACGTCTGAGCTGTCAGCACAGAGCCGGGAGCCTGCTTTGGATTCTGTGTCTCCCTCTCTCTCTGCCCCTCCTCTGCTCGTGCTCTCGCTCGCTCTCTTTCAAAGAATAAATAAACATTAAAAAAATTTTTTTAAGATTTGGGGGGCTTGCTCAAATAATAATGAAACCCGCTTTGGGATTGTGGTCTGACATGTTGCTGTTGGGGTGCACTTTAATTAAAGATTGACAACCACAAGGTTTATGAGGCAGGGCCTCGCTTGGGCCAGCCCCGCTGCAGATAAGCATGGTGACTCCCCTCCATACAGAGCATGAGCATTCCCTGGCTTCCTCAAACTCAAAGTCTGGAGCTTCCTGAGGGAAGTAGAAAGACCACAGAGTGATTGCATCCCTTTCCCAGACAGAGATCTGTCTGCCTCCCCTTTCCCAAACAGAGATCAGCAGACAGGCAGGGACGCTTAACTCAGTATTTCACATTCCAGCTCTGTGTTTACTTAGGTGTTTATTGGCTTGCTTTAATCATTGAACAAATATTCCCTGGGGCATCGCCTGTAGGTCCAATGCTGGGCTAGCACCGCAAGAGCTGACATTTAGGATGGACATTTGAGGAGTTTGGAGAACTGGGCTCCCCTGCTGGCAGTCCACAGAGCTCCATCTGATAAGATTCAAATAAGTCCCTCTCATGCACAAACTGGTGCGAGTGCCAGAAAGGCCTGGCCTTTTCCCAACCTTCAGGTCTCTCACTACTATGTTACTTCTGCCTGGAAGGTGCTTTCTCTACCCTTTCTGCAGGACTATGGTCTCTCCTCCCCTGTTGGCTGGACCTTGTCTCTTGGTGGGAAGAGGCCGGCACCTGGGAGTGCCCAGCACCAGGACAGGGCGCCGTTCCATAGGACACAACTACTCAGGGCCAGGCCCTGTGCCAGCCCCCAGGGGGACTCCCATTGACACAAGCGCAGTGCCTGTCCTCAGGGAGCTTACAGTCACAGGAACAATAAAATATGGCAGCTGGGATAGCAGTCTGTCCAGGGCCAGGGCGAGGCACTAGGAGATGCTAGTCATTTCTCCCGGGGCTGGGAGGGGTTTTCTTAGATGACGTCATCCTTTAGGTGACTCTTGACAGATGACAGAGAGTGTGCCAGGTGGCCAAGAGAGGACAGGAAGGGCACTCTTGGTGAAGGGAACATCTTGAGCTCAGGAGCTGAGTCAGTGAGTGTGAGGGGAGAGCCATCCTATTCTTGTTGGACTGAAATAAAAGCCCAAGTATTCTTGATGGCTGCTAAGATGTATAGGTCAACCTAAGGAGAGAAGAGCCTAAAACGGCTATGCCAAGTAAAAAAGGCAGAAGACAAAACAGGCCTAGTTTTGCTCGTTTTAAAATACTGAAAAAAAATGAGATGGATTCTGAATGCTTTTTATTGTCTTCTTTATACTTCCCTGTATTTTAAAATTTAAAATAATTGTCGGCCTTACCTGCTGCCCACGCACTCCTCGGTCTGCAGGGGGCGCACCGGCGGCCACCCTCCCTCTTTCAGGGTGGTGGGCGGGGCCTTTGGGGCCGGTGTGGAAGGGACGATTGGCTGGCTGGGCTGTTTGTCACGGCATCCCGCCCCCACCCTACGTCACATGACGCAGCCCATCATGGCGGCAGGAGCGCGGCTGCCCTGGCCCGCGGCTCCGCAGGGCTGCTGCCGTTGCTGCTGTTGAGAGGCGGCGGCGGCGGCACAGACGGGCGGGCGGGAAGGATGGTGTTTCTGTGGCCGGGGCGGCGGGTGCGGACTAGGAGCCGGGCTGAGGTTTGGCCGAAGCGACGTGTGCTCAGGAGCAGCTGGCGCGGGTGCCGCTGAGGCAGGCAGGACCGACTGACGGACGGACCGACGGAAGGAGACCCGAGAGCCGGCCCTGGGGGCCGTGCAGTGGGCGAGATGCCGGGGCCGCCGGCGTTGCTGCTACTGCCGCTGCTCCTGGCCGCCGGCAGTGCCGGGGCCGCGCCACTTCCGCAAACAGGTGCAGGTGAGCGGGCCCGCTGCGGGGACGCGGCTGCGGGAACCCAGGCTGCGGGGCCGCTGCGACGGCGGTGGCAGGGGAGGAGGCGGCGGGCCCCGTCCGGCGACGCCGAGGAATCGGAGGGCCTGCCAGGGCGGGAGGCCCGGGGAAGCAAGCGATTAGGGAGGTTTCTGCCGCAGGGGCGTGGGGTGGGGGAGCGGGCAGCCTCTCCAGGGCCGAAGCGGGGGCGAGGCGATGCGGTTGGGCCCGGGGAGGGCGGCGAGCCGGGCGGCAGCGATCGACCCCTCCCGGCGTAGGCTGCGGTACCTGCTCTGAACCTGTTGCCCGGAGGTCCTCAGCCTACATCCCTTTCTGGCAGTTCTGCTTCCCTTTCAGATGTCACCTGCCTTCTGTGCGTTTCTCACATCTTCTATTAAGAACCGTTTCTTAGCCCTAATTGTACTTGAATGCAAATGACTTAATGAACTGTGCGGAGTTTCATTCGCTCCCTGCAACTTGTTCTGAAGTTGTAAATTGATTTTAGACGCTGTGCTTTTTTTCGGATTGAATTTCAAGGAATGAAAAGGAAACAACTCTGTAAATATTTCTATTTTAGGAAGCCAGTGATTAGAGTAGCAGTCTTTGAGTAACTATTGACAGAATGGCCCAAGGGTGATTGAAGTTTCTATTTTAGCTACGTCAGTGTGTGGTTTTCTTTTCTTTTTCTTTTTTTCCTCCCCATTTTCTCGACATCCTCTTCAGTTGTGGTTTATTTTCCCAGATAAAACTTTACCCGAGGAAAGCATCCCAAGTTGAGTCATTTTTTTTTTTTTTTTTAAAAAAAAAAAAAAATCTGGGTTAAGATCTAGTGCTTGTCTTTGAAGTAAGGAGAGACTGAAATTTCATAGATTCATGAAATTTTGGAATTGAAAGAGTCCTTAAAGAAAATTTAGCCTGATATCTTTGTTTCTCAGTTGAAGATACTGAGGCCCTGGGGGGGGGGGGGGTCAAATGACCTACCCAAGGTGACACAGCTAAATTGTAGGCGGAGCCACATCTAAAACCCATGTCTGAAATTTCCCTAGTTGTGTGATTTTTCCATTTCCCCACCTTAGGTCTTGTAAGTGTTTCGGAATACTCTTGAGGTTAAGAGTTATTTTAATACGATGTTAACTGGGTACACGATGTGGAAGTTCCCTTCCCCAGTAAAGACAAACACATCCACTATGCAAGTTATAAATAATGTTTCCAGAGCTACACCAAGTTCTGTCATTGAGTGCCCTTTAGTTGGGTATTAACTGTTATCATTGTACCACGTAATGTATCGCGAAATTTTTGCCACTGCCTTAGATCAAATATTTGTTAGGTGAATTCTGTTTTCTGATCTGATAGACAAGAAAAGTGAGTGTTATGAGAAGTGTATGCAGCCCAGGTATGAGTCACAGAAAGTGACAAAGTTGTAAAAGACAATACAGAAGAACGTGGATGGTGGTATTGAAACTGATGGTGAAATTGAAAATTAGCACCAGAGTAAGATAGTGTGTAAAGAGTATTTATGTGAAAGGGATTCAAGAAGTTTCCAGATGACTTTGCACTTAAATTTTTATATATTTTGAAAAACAGACTCTATGTGGGAACCTATGGGAATGTGTCTCCTTATAAACCTCTTTTTAAAAAGGAAAAATTTTTTTAACGTTTATTTATTGAGAGAGAAAGACAGAGCATAAGCATGGGAGGGGCAAAGAGAGAGGGAGACACAGAATCCGAAGCAAGCTCCAGGCTCCGAGCTGTCAGCACAGAGCCCGATGCAGGACTCAAACCCACAAACCACCAGATCATGACCTGAGCTGAAGTTGATGCTTAACTAACTGAGCCACCCAGGTGCCCCTCCTTATAAACCTCTTAACATGATTTTTATTCCGTTCTTTCACTTTCACCTCCATTTTTACGGAGGTACAGATCAGAATATTGGAGGTTTTGGGGGGAGCATTGTAAAACAAGACAATCAGGAAAAGTCATCCACAAATAGAAATACCAAATTTTGGCATGAATAAAGCATAAAGAAATATGTGGTGACTTACAGCAGCTTTTGCAGATTTTCCCTTCGTATTCTGTTGCTCAGAAGGAATACAATTAGACATGTGGCATATGAGTGACAGGTCCCTGGGGTTAAATTCTGTGGAAGAGGTGCTCAGTCACACATAGATTTGTGGGTTTGTGTTTCCATCCAAAAGAGATTAGTAATCCTGGTAATGGAGACGGATTCTTGATGAAGATGTGTGTGACCAAGAAGAATAAAGAAACCTTTGAGCTGATCCTGATAAGTGAGCTCACTGGTTAAGAGAGAGGAGCCCGTCTTGAACATGTATGTGAGCTAAAAGAGCAGTTAAATGTTGGAAGCGTTGTAACCCTCAGGCCTCTGATTCTGTGGGGACTGCGCTCCACACAGAAGTAGGGCTGGCCATTTCCAAATTCAGGATACATGCCTCGCATGTAGTCTTTTGCCTCCTCGGCTTTGTTCTTTCCACTTAAATTCCAAACTGCTTGATAGTGCCTTGGAGAAAGCGTGGCTTATCAAAAATAGGTTGGAAAAAATACTTGAATGTTCTCCTTTGCCAGCCCATTTGCATGGGGGGAAAGAGATGAGGCAGTTAACTAAAATTCAGCCAAAATTCATCCAAAATTCATTTCTAGGTTTCGGAAGTTGAAAAGGGTATTTACCCATTCAGTCATAATTAAGCTTTGTAAATACGTGGATTGCCTTTGCCTATCAGGCAAGAAGGCTCTTTCTTTTTTTTAAATATATTTAACAATTTTTTTTAATTATTTTTTTTTTATTTTTGAGAGGCAAAGAGAGAGAGAGAGAGAGAGAGAGACAGAGCACAAGTGGGGGAGGGGCAGAGAGAGAGGGAGACACAGAATCTGAAGCAGGCTCCAGGGTCTGAGCTGTTCACACAGAGCCCAACGCGGGGCCCGAACTCATGAACCGTGTGATCGTGACCTGAGCCGAAGTTGGACACTCAACCGACTGAGCCACCCAGGCACCCCTCTTTCTTTCTTTCTTTCTTTCTTTCTTTCTTTCTTTCTTTCTTTCTTTCTTTCTTTCTTTCAGTTTGTTGATATACAGTGTTATATTAGTTTCAGGTGTACAAGAAAAGCATTTTTTGCTTGAACTTTATTTTGGGCCTGTCTTTATTGCTCTGGGAGTCGCTCCTGCCCTCTTTGGGATCCTTTTCCTGAGAATGTGTATTTCTGCAAGGGCCGTTGCTGGCTGTGTAGACGGAGATCGTGTCCGTCCTCACTGGAAAGCTTACATAAAGGGAGAAAGTCCACTGTTTTCACACACTGTTAAACGACCAGACTAAGGTTACAGTTGAGAAATTCTTTTCTCCATTCCTAGTGACGAGGTCATTCTTGTCTTAGAAAACACTTATGTACCTTTTGTGAGATTCTCAGTCACATCATAGAAAGAGATAGTATATTTGTATGCATTCCCCTAAGTCCCCTGTTTGTTATTAATACCAGGATAGTGGTTAGACCGGGAAGCCCACTTCTGTTGTCCTGTGGCATATTAGGTCACAGAGTACAGAGGAAGCTGTTAGCAGTTCCAGATAAAGGAGCTCACGCAAGTCTGTGAAGCCAGTGGGACTCAGCTACTTATTAAACAGCAGCTAGTGAAACCGGGGCTCTCATTTTAGATTAAACAAACAGCCTTGGATCTTGAGAAAGATTCTGCAGTAAAGGAAGTGCTTTCTAAAGTGAATTCTAAGTGTGAGTTTTTGTGTTTATTTCAATGGCATCTGAGAAATAAAAATTATTTTCAACAGGCTTTTCGTGCTGATTATCTCAGGATTTATGGCTGTGAGGCTCAAGATTTCATTTAGGTTGGGAGTGTTGGTATTTGCTCTCAGTTGGTGGTATTTTTGGGGTAACTAAGTATGTTCATTTGCACAGTAATAGGAAGTCTGTCCAACAATTTTGTAGCTGATGAGCATTGAAGTTATCAAATCTCTACAGGTTTGCTGATATCAATGTGCTGACTGTTCATGCAATTGTCTTGAAATTTAGAGAGTCCTTGGGTCTGCTGTGTCAGATAACAGCTGTACATGTAATAAAAAAGATTTGTAACATAAATGAAATGTAATGTAAGGGGTGGCCAGGGTTCTGAAGCAAACAAGTGAGTCCTCAAAAAAGTCCTTATAGATGGACGTATAAAAAGAATCCAACCTTTCAGTCCTGTTGAGAGTGTAAGTCGTGAACCAGTCACAGGAGGAGCGGGTGTTACGGACAGAACTTGGACTTTGGAGGTAGTCTGGGTGGGAGGCCTTCCTTTGCCGCTTCAATAGCATTGAGATCTTGGGCCAGTTACTTGACCTCTCCAAGCTTCTCAAAACTCAACTCAAAAAAAAATGATGAGGGGCACCTGTGTGCCTCGGTTGAGCGTCCGAGTCTTGATTTTAGCTCAGGTCATGATCCCAGAGTCATGGGAGTGAGCCCTGCATCAGGCTTTGCACTGAGTGTGGAGCCTGCTTGAGATTTTTTTCTCTCTCTTTCCATTTCCCTCTGCCCCTTTCCCCACCTCACGCGTGCGCGCTCTCTCTAAAATAAAATTAAGGGGTGCCTGGGTGGCTCAGTTGGTTAAGCACCTGACTCCTGATTTCGGCTCAGGTCATGGTCTCATGGTTTGTGAGATTGAGCCCTGCGTTGGGCTCTGTGCTGACAGTGCGGAGCCTGCTTGGGATTCTCTCTCTTTCTCTCTCTCTCTCTCTCTGTCCCTCTCTCTCTCTCTCCCCCCCCCCCCATAAATAAATAAACATTTTTTAAAAATTAAAAAATAAAGGGATGATGATATTTACCTAAAGGGTTTGGGGAGGGTGAGGTCGCATCATGCTGGTGCGCCATGTCGGCCACGTTAGGTGTCTTCGTTGCTTCAGATTTCCTTGTAAAATTGGTGGGTTACCGTGGCATCAGCTAATGGTGAGTGGTATGGTTCCAAGAAGGAACTCAAAGTGGTAGCTGCTTATGGC